TTTTTTTCATATTATACTGAAATAAACTGTAAAAATCAGTTAATTTTTAAATATTTTTTCATTGGCGCTAACCCTCTTCTGTACACCTCTGTTCAGGCAACTACTGTCTTTAATCTGATGCAGTGTGAGAGGAGGGGGCGGTTTTGTTTGGGGGCGTGAAGTCTCCTCCGCTTTGCCACTGGAGGGCCACAGTTACAAAACTTACCAATGGCAGCCAGCTGAGCGATGACTGGGTGTAAAATGCATTCGTTTTCACTAACCTGATACTTTATATCAGTAAAAGCTTTGAAGAATTAGTGTAAAGCCTGTTAGCTTCCAAAGTTACAACAGTTCACAGCCTGCTGTGTGGAGATGCTACAATATAGGAACAAATAACCTCGTAGCTCTCAATATTTCAGACTTACGGTCAATGCATGAAGCTATTCCTCGTTTCGAAGAGTTTCTGTTAAGAACCAAGCGGTGGTTCCGACACAGGTTACATCCCAGCCGGGCTAGTCTCGGTAGAGGTCTGAGGGCAGCCATGTTTACTGCCACAGTTACAACACAGGGTGCGCTCCTTAACAGTCAGCCGGTGCTCTAGGATACGGTGCGTGGGAGGAGTTTATGTCCGCAGAGCAACCCTTTTCAGGAGGTTACGGCCTGGGTGAGCTAACACTAATAAAATGAACTGTTAGAGATCTTATGCAGGTTAAAACACAGACTGGAATTATTATATTCCTGAGGTCGGGGAAATTTTACTCGTTTTCTAAATTCTGCATAATTTAGGCAGTAGTGGCGCAAATAACATGACGTTTCCTGGTTTATTTAGGGTTCATTTAATCAAAACTTTAAATAGTTTGAATAAATTTAACAGTACAAAACAACACGTGTCTATCTAAAAATCTTATCGTCCGCATCTCTCAGTGGTTGTTGTCTCCCCGGTTGACAAATCGTGTGCACCTGCTCCTCAGCAGGCTGCTGGGTAATGTAGTTCTTATACAATTGTTCGTCCTTTTTCAAGCCCTGTCCTTTTTCCACTGTATAGTAAACCACAGCAATGCTTGTATTATGATTTCTAAATATGAATATGCATTGTAAGTAATCAACATAAAATAAAGTACTTAAAAAAATCTTCACAGAGGACTAAACCTGCACCACTGTGGTCCATTTAAAGCACGATGGGAAGTTGCACCTCTAATTTTATAGCAGTACGTGCGCTGTGCTCGCTGATGGTAGCATGAGCCAGCAGTAATCATAATCAGATTTACCTGCGTGTAATCCATTAAAAAAAACATTGGCTTTATAGTGTTGCATTCTGTCAACCTGATTTATAGGTTTTTAAATGCTCTAAAACTTTAGTGTTTGATTGAACTTTGTTAGACAATACTAAACAAAATATCATGGAGCATATTGTTTCTGTACAAAATAGGATTATCAGAATTTTACTTAAATTGATACATGTTGTATATTTAAATTCTAGCTTTACATTAATTTATTGTCTTTTTTCCAGATGTCATTGAACGCAACATATCCCACGTGTCTGAAAAGGAATTTTGTTGACGTCACGTGTTGTGGGGCTTTTCGCGGGATTTGAAGGCCTGTCTGATTTACCACTCAGGAAGGTATAACATCAGAGTTTATTCTGTCTGTCTATATATTACACTGGGAGTTTGTTTTAAATTATAGCAGGGACTAAAAAGTGTATAGTTGCTGGTTGACAGAGTGTGTTTTGTCTTTGCAAGTGATTTATGTTAACATCAGTTTTTCATGTTACAAAACTTGCCATCATACTTTCTTTTTTAATCCAACAGCCTTTGTGTTTATTGTTAAATCTGACTGAAGGGGATATTATTAACTGGTGCTGTTCAGTGATGATGCTATTTATTTATGCTGCTTTACATCTTTTCTCTCCTACATGTTTTATGTTTATCATCCTGGGTTATTATTACACAGAAAAGGGGAATTGTTGGGTTTTTTTGTTCTTATTTTATTGACATATGTTTTCAATTATACTAAATCCTTCCATAAATCTTTACAGACTCTGAGATGCCTCCAAAGAAAAGGACCAGAGTGAGTAAAACATCCCCAAATACAGGTATGTCACACCAAACTCTGCTTCCCTGCCTATAAGAAATGCATATAACATGCATTTCTTATAAATCCTTTAAAGGTTATGAGAAAAGCTTTTGTCTTTCCTTTAATTATCTCTGGCCAAATCACATACAGGTGCTGGTCATAAAATTAGAATATCATGAAAAAGTAGATTGATTTCAGTAATTCCATTTAAAAAGTGAAACTTGTATATTATATT